ACATCGTACAGGTTGGAGTGCCACCTACTGGCTGATTGTGAGCTTCGTCCGTGGTATCGTATTAGAACGGAGGAGCGGGTCACTGATGCGGTGCCCCGGCTAGGAATCTCCCTCGCCACAAGTATGAATGCTGAATAATCAACAACGAGCAAGCTTAGATAACGCATGCTTATATTTATGATCTGAGATGGTACACTTTTTGCCAGGATGAAAAGACATAGAGAAATTATCAATAACATGGCGAAAATGTCAAATATTTAACTGTTACAATGTCTATTGTCAACAACATAATCACAGAATGCTACTGGCACGTAAAGTTCGCGCCCTCCACCTCTGGTGCCTTGATAAAATATCCAAGAATTGCACAAGTACACTTAATAATGGCGGCCATCGTGCCTTATAAAAAATTGCTAATTTTCAGACTCCCGTTATTGTAATTCGATGGAGCTACAGTAAATAAGCGACTTAAAGTTCAAACAAAATGGAGGAAGCTTATTTTTACTTCTAATTTTGCAAATTGAATGCATGCCATCTATAGCCGTGCCTACCCGAGGTGGCACCCGTAATCGTGATAGTGGTTGAAATAAACTAAGAATTAGAAGACGAGAAGAATATCCTATAACTATTACCACTTTGTTTTCGAAACGTATTCAGATTTTGATAAATTATATCAAAAATATTATCCAACAATGTGATACAAAAAAAGGAAATCCCACAATGGCAGACAAAGTCGAAGAGATGCATTATTGAAAGGCATCTTTGAAGCAGTTCCTGCAACTCTCGCAATATAGGACAGACCCGAAACCTCCGCCAAACACTCACGCTAAAATCCGTTTGCATTCAAGTACGGCAAGCCTGCGGTTCAAGTCCCGCTTCCCGGGATGCGGAGGCGGGATTCTCCGTTAGGCGGCCGGCGGGGGACCGGCGGGTCGGCCACTAAATCTGCGGAGCCGCCGGGAGCTCGACGTGGCCCGACTGCCGGCCGAAGACGACTTTACTGCGAGCCGCTGATGGCTGACGGCCTGACGATGTTTACACTGCAATACACACCGCCCCGAATCGCCAGATGAGACGGATTTCGCCTTGACGCTGCGCAAAACACGGGCCAGTTGCGGAGGTCAATTTGATGTCGGTAGAACGCAGTAGCTTGTGCCGTTTTTTTCTTCTGTTTGCTTGACATACGATTATATGCGCCGTTGTTACGCTCATGATCAGTTTATCACAGATTATTAGTATCTTTTTAACTGGCTCAGCTCTAATTAGTGATCAGTTCCATTTCAATTTTCATCTTTGGCATTGCTTTCGTGTAACGGTCTGTCGTAAGTTTAACATATTCCTCATTGGGACCACGCTGGAGGGGGTGTTTTTGCATCCCGAGAATGGCTTGCTACGATTGCTCTCTTCTGTCTGAGCTCAGCATAGGTAAGCCATGGTGTTATTTTGTTACACAATGGCTCAGCAAAGACTTTACTTTAATTAATAGTGAACAAGCTGGTGTCGGCATTGTTAGGTGGATGTACTCGTAAACAGACAATACTCTCTAATAAAGCGAGAGCTGCGTTACCAATTTTTCCAATCAATATGCCATTTTTCATTTCGTCAACATGCCTTATTAGAGAAATGCTGTGAAAATAAATGATGTATATAATTGTGTCGAGGTAAATTATGTTCTTACACGCCTATACCATGCCATCACTCCGATGCGCAGGATCGGGACTGGTGCACTTAAATTCCCAGTAACCTGCCGCTGGAGAAGAGATACTGGCTTATGTACTGTGTCTGACGTCCCCGACTACCCAGGGAAATACGTTACACACCGACTGTGTCCAGCAATGCGGGAAATATATGTGTTACGAGCTTGCTGATTGAACTCGGAATCGTCGTGCAAGAGATTCCGGCTATCACATAGACGTGCATTTGGTTGAAGGAAGAGCGCTTTTGGATGGAGCATCGTTTGTTACCGAAGCATCAATTTTGTCGATTCTGCTCGAATGGAAAGATTTGACCGCTGGCTTCGAATAGGTACCATCCTGAGTTGCATCGATATTGGCTAGATCTTTCAACAAATTGCCGAGAGGAATGCAATCTAGCGCAACTGACCTTGGCATAGTTTGATCTCGCTGGGCTGGAGCAATGATGTGCACGCTCCGAGCATTCTTGCAACGCTGGTGAGATACCCAGCTGGCTTGTATTGTGAATCCAACTGGTCATCGAATTGGTGATTTACGCTGACCATTGCTTCGGTTCGAATTGGTAGAAATCTCTACAGGTTCGGTTCAAACCTGTAGAAAACCTGAACAATTTTGCATGATAGAACGACTGGCCGTTAACAACGTTAACCACCATTTTTAGGGCAATTGGAATCATGTTTATCTTATATTGCTTATTAACATTCTTGATTGAAAAAAGAAATAAATGTCGAAAGTAACATGATAATGACACAACGGAGTAGGTAAGTGACAAAACGGAAACAGCACAAACGCTCTCCGTGAAACCTTGTAAAAGTGAACTCGTAGTTTGGTCGCACCCAGCAACTTCCAAAATAAATACCAATCCCCTCGACGGAAACATGTCTTGGTGTTGTGACCTGGAGAGAAAATATGACGCTGCCATTTCCTTACTTTTTTGTGAAAGGTGGCACCAGCTGCGCCGCTTGTTGACGTGTGACCAACGATACTTATACATCACGTGTATAGACGCAGCCGCTGCTGTACAGTCGAGTACTCGCTGCGTGATTAATGGGACGACACTGCCCGGCTGACCTTTCATGTGCCGCTCTCAGGCGCGACATTGCAGCCGGTCCCCGGGAGAAACATGGAAGGAGCCAGGATGTATAGGATTATGAATCGTGTACGAGGTAGGGGAGCCGCAAAAAACATGTCCGGGAAGCAGGGAAGAGTGATGCTGGAGTCATGATGCTGGCTGGAAGAGAGAAAAGGTGCGCTAGAAATGAATGAGTTATATAGCAAGAGTGGTTAACAAACGTGTTTTCAATCTGCAGCCCACCTCCCCTCACAAAAACTTGCTCCGTTACACGTCTACCGAAAGACTCGCTTAAATTTATCAATATAGGGATATTCGTGCGGTAAACTATTTATGAGCTGGTGTGAATTTTTGTTTTTAATCATAATGCTGTAATTATGCCGCAGCTGTATTTGGTATGCCCTAATTTGCTGATATCGCTGGACTGTGCTGCCCACCCGTGACCGGGTCACGTGTTCCCTCCTCCATCCGCTGCTCCGTACCGCGCCGGCACCAGGCTGCAGCGGGCACGCGGCGGTAACCTGGTCCAGACCTACCAATAAATCGGCGGCGGCCCATCCATCGGAGGCTCGCTGTAATTTCCTGATCGTGCCCGGACGCCACCCTGATGGGATGCCAGCTGGTGCCTGCGCCGATACCCATGGCGCGATCGCACAGCGCGGCGGCTCCCACCCGGATCACACAGATGAGCACGGATACACTCAGCGCATAGTGTCTCATCCCGGGAAGAAAGAATGGAAATAATGTGGGAAACAGACTGCCCTCTCCAGTTCCTCTGACTGAAAGTCTGGTTTGGAGCTGTTTTCCGCCGCGAAATGTGACCGCTGGCTTGAAAAATCTCCGTTCGACGAAGGCAGTATGCTTTACGTCGAGCCAATATGGTATGTAAATCATAAGCGGATCTCGGGCTGACGCCCGTCAGCTGTCGGTCTATTGGAGGCGGTTCGGTCTATTGGAGGCGGCTGGGTCCGTCTGCCGCTACTGTCAATCCGGGTTCCTGAACAAACGGCGACCGACAGCTGCAGCCGCCCCTGACGGGGGCACAGCAGACAGCGGAAGCGCACAGAGCTGATTTTGACGTGCCGACTTCCAGATCAGCTCGGACAACAGTATGGCATTGAACTGGATGACCCACCCCTTATGAATGACATCTGACGCCGGGCACATGCATTGCAGTTCCATAATGCATCATCGGACGCTGACATCATCTCATCTTTTCTTCAGTGTGACATCTGGCTCCATTATTTAAAATTCCAATTAATCTATCAAAGGGTAACTGTGATCGGATTTCCGTGGTCGCTCGGATCAACACTGAGACTCAGCAAGCGAGTGGAAAAGCTACATAAAGAAACTTCCAAAAAACGGCTTTAAAATTTACTCCTCCCAAAACCTGATAATTGATTTTAAGTCACAAAATTTGCACTGGAGAGAGAACTCTATGCATCCATCAACCCTGAAAATGCGTTGCTTTAAGTGCCATAGGAGCCAATTGCCAGGGGTCGGACCCTCTCTCTTCTCCCTCCCCTCCCCCTCTTCAGCCGTATGCTTTTTGAAAAAAAAGCCCTGACCTGGCAAGGGTCAGGGAGCTGGACTCATGAGGACCGTTAGCATGAAATATGAAAGAAATCCCTATCGCAGCATATGCCTATTACCTACGCGGTCAAACAGCCTTTCACATTCGACGAACAACAGACAATCCGCACAACAAACAAATTATCTCATTTTGACTATAGCCTCTGCTTATGACATGCAGCCTGTGTGATAAGCAGGAGCGTCGACGCGACGGTGGGGGCCCAATCGATGCCACTTGTTTTCGTGCCACTTCTCGAGCCACTATTCGGATGTAAACTGGATTACACGTCTCATTCGAATGGTTTACTATCTGACAGATATGTGCTTGAAAGTCTGCATTTTTTATCCTCAAGAAATAGAAACGTTGTAACGAGGCCTGAAAGGTTGACTCCGCGTCGTTGCGATCCTGTCGAAAGTACATCTTAAAAAGTGTCGTTTTTTTTGTCAGCTTTACCTATAACAGTCAACGAGCTGAGTTGTCTGTGCCAGGCCAGGGCCATTGAAGGAGCCCAAATTAGGTATCCTTGAATTGGGCTCTGAAATAAGTAATAACTATCGCTTTGGCCACCATATTTATCTATTAGTTAAATATATTGAGTGATGTGAATTGTGAATATATCAGGAATGCTGAAAACGGAGAGGCGAGACCAAAATGACACAAAGAGTAGCACACCTTTGAATTTATTGTGTGATCTACTCATAACTCAGAGACGCGGCCAATCTGAAATCCCTTCCCCTATAAGCTCAGCACTGATAACTTTCAGGCCAACACGAGCGCTATACTACCTCATAAAAATATACGGTTATATATCCCGAAACACGTCATCACGTTCTGGTGTCGCACCATTTGGCCACGTTTACTTCGCAATACCCCAATAGAATGGCGAAATATAGAGCATGCATCACTTGACGCCTCGCTAAGCTATGGCTCGTATCCACCTGGTTACGAGCCAGCAGTGTACTCTAAGCAGGGATGAGTGCTATCCGCAAGCGACACGCACCAGCACACGCCCTCACTCCAGCACTGACACCATCTCGGACAAACAGACGCATTACGAGCCACACTCTCCATCAAGTTCTGTCGACGCTGCACTTACAGCGTTATCACGATCGCCATCGAACACAGCAGAGAACACGCACAGCACTTTCCGCACACCGGTATAGGATCGTATAACATATAATACAAACGCCATCCGTGTCTCATCTCATGATTGGAGACCATCAAACTGTTTCTCGAATATCCTCTCTCGGAGCGACCACCGATCAAGTTACGGGTTTTTACGTCATGCCCTCCTCATGATCATCCCGAGAGAAACGGAGTGCAGACCACGGCACCGTTATCAGCTACGTGCGTCAGAAATGGCGAGCTGGGTATTATATCTGACCGATACCGGTTTCACCCGCGTCCTCTCATCTCCGGGCCGGGCATGTATAACACTCACAATTCTCTGTCACGCACGCGATGGTAACACGCAGATCGCTGAGCAGAGTTTGGTTCACACTTCACCGCACGGCGCATCGAACCACCGAAACGCATACTGCAATCGATGGATTTTTTTTTGTCCCGATCCACCTGTCTAAACCAGTTTACCGCACCACCACCCAGGGCTGAGCCGCTGCACTGTCCACAGCAGCCGTCCCGTCCACAGCAAAACTGCACTGCCCGTCCACCGCAGTGGCAGTTTCGTCCACTGCCGACTGACGCTCGGCTATCTGACGGGTGCAGGACACCATGCGGAGATCTTTGGGCCACCGAACGATAGATGGACACTGGGGACCGGCCACAAAGACCGTGCCTGGCGCCCTGCGATATCGTGGCCAGTTGTGTTCGGACGCGCACTGAGCGAGCGAGAGAAACAACCGACTACAAAGACAAGGCAGAAAACAATGAGCACACCTCGCGACTGCCCAGTATCCGGCGACGGAAAGAAAAACATCCAACAGACTCCGCCTACACACAGAAACACTGCATCGCGCTTGGGCGATGTATGCTCACCGTCACCCGAACCTATCCGATAAGACACCGACAAACAAAGTTCGTGCCCTTTACTGGCAATGACGAGTGAGCTCTGAGTCTCTTGTGGGCCATCTCACGACACTCGAGCGGGTTCAACAGGTTGTCGGATTCCACAGGTTGGCACTGAGTCGACAGCTCGGGTAGCGGACTGCCAGGAATATATATGAGCAGTCGTTGGTCATACAAGAGTCTCCAGATCCCAATGGTCACCACCGCGCTAAAAATGATTGATCGGCCAAAGCTTACGCAATAATGGCCCGGAAATGAGAGAGAACAGAAGAGGGAGAGGAAGGGGAAAAATAAACATAAAAATAAATAGAGAGAGAGAGAGGGGATAGACAAAGAGAGAGAGAGACTGAGAGAGAGAGAGAGAGAGAGAGAGAGAGAGAGAGAGAGAGAGAGAGAGAGAGAGAGAGAGAGAGAGAGAGAGAGAGAGAGAGAGAGAGAGAGAGAGAGAGAGAGAGAGAGAGAGAGAGAGAGAGAGAGAGAGAGAGAGAGAGAGAGAGAGAGAGAGAGTTCGTCATGCATGATATTCAATCGTGAGATTCAGGATATTGGTGAGAGTATTTACTTCCATAGGACAGCCTAGGCCAGGATACATTTCCTTTGAAGTTTCTCAGCGCAGGAAAACACAAGCATCTTGAGCAACAACCGGTGAGACGCGATTTCTTCTCAGCAGGGGCCGATTCAGGAATGGGCCGGCACCTAGAGCACAGCTAAAAGTTTAAACTTTTCAGAATATGAAAAAAACAATATGTTGTCTTAAAGGTAGTGTGCCACCTTTGAAAGATTTCCCATTTTATTTTTCCTAGGATAAGAAGCTTCTGTTTTTACTTACCTAATATCGCAAAAAAATCAAAAATGGGCCTGGAATAGTGCCTTTTTCGCCTAAAAGTTTTTCGGTTTTTAGATATGAATAACAACTGTAGTGGGCTCACCTGCAAACAGGCGTCGGGCAACAATCGCGAATGCGGCGCACTTGTGACAATAAGCAAAGGTCATTATAGTGTTACGACCATACGACGTACGGGAATGAGTTATCAGCTGTCTAATCGTAGACAACACAATGTCGAGCCTTAAACTGTAAGCCCGTATTGGTATTGTTTCTTTTATTTGGCTGTCGAACATTATTTATGGTTTGAAATATGATTTTATGTAAAATAATTGATATGAAAAAGCCGTCTTATAAGTTATGACCCCATTTCACCACACGCAAGTGGCAGAAATGACAATGATCAGCTGACGCATTTTTCTTGGCCGAAGTCAGAGCGCGCGGCCCGACGCACCACGCGTATTTGGAAATTCCGACCTCGACGAGCATCAGAAGCCACCTAACAGGCGTGTTCGAAACCGCAGGAGATGATGATGAACAGGTTTATCGAAACTTGATTGGATGAGCATATCGGTAATAGCGATTTCAGTGTGTGCATTTATTGTTCATAGTGGTGTGAAATGTGGTTGGGGTACGACCGACAACCCGTCGGGGCGAATTTCGCACTGGGGTACTCAAAATTTGAAGAATTTAAGACGTTTCCATGAGTTTTGAAGGTATGGATAAGTTCTAAAAATCCGGTTCTCCTTATCTGGGCCAGTAACTCCATACGGTCCAAGAAAGCTGGCACACTACCTTTAAACCTGTTGATTTTTGTCGATTTTCTTTAGGGCGAAACATAAATGTAACTTTTCACTGTACGATAGAGTTCGTAAACGTGAGAAGTTCAACAGATTCAGCTTTCGGGAACAATGTAGTAAAATGTTTGAGGGTTAATCCTAAGCATCTCCTGGTCTGCCCCTGCCACACAACTACTCGTCTACACCCAGCTCTCCACGATTCACGTACACACAAAAATAGGGCTGCGTTTGACCTGTCCGCAGTGTCTCGGCTCGTCCCCGCGCTCGCCCGGTCAGGTATCGGCGCGCCGCGTGCACGGGTCCCTGCGGCGGCTGTGGCTGTGCGTCGGCCACAGGTATCTGTCGGTCCGCCTCCTGCTGCAGGTATCCCCCAGTGGCGGCGAGGCCTATCGACCCCATCCGACCGCAGCATTGGCGCCGAGAGCGCGCCCTCCCCGGAGACGCGCGGCGGCGACACGATCGAACCGGGAGGGATGCGCGCCGGCCAGGCCGTGCGCCACCCGCTCCCCGGCCGCTCACGTGAGGCAGGCCGCCGCTCACTAGCATGTAGTAGGGCCAGTAGCCGACGTTGAAGCACAAGAAGCCGATGGGGAAGACGATGCGGGAGAAGGCATCGATGCGCTGCGCTTGGCGCTTGGACTCGGTTCGCTGCAGATCGTGGAACAGCAGCTGCGGATGTGGCTGCTGCTTCTGCTTGCCCTAAAAACGAAAACGAGGTGTGTTTACAACTTACATTGACTGTGGTAAATACCGAGCCAGCGCTTTTCGTGCATTTTAAAAAGCATTTGCTTGATTTGATGAATGAGCACTTAGAAAAGAGCATTTGATGTTACCGTAAAAGCTCCTACCGCTGGTCATGCTTTCTATTCAACGATAGATTTGAGGCTGAAACTAATCTAGCTGTAGTCTCATATTCAGATGGCGAGATGCAATAACATAATTGTGAGATATCATGTTTGTGACTTCGCAGACAAAAGTTAAAAATAAACACTTTGACGGAAGTCGTTAACCTTGTATAGACCCGCTTATATTTTCGCCAGCTCACACCCTGACAGTCCACATCTGTTCCCCAAGGTAATCATCCTGACGCGACTTCAGCTGCACTCTGACGCATAGATGTGTCCTCAGTTGTTTTCGCACTTGACGTGCCTGGGCGTTTCCACATCCTCGCGTGTCTCCCATCGTCCCCTACCCTGACGTTTCTCCTGTTTATCCCTCACCCATGACGTGTCTTGAGTCGTCCCTCACGTGTTCCCAACTGGCCCTCACCATAACGTGTCCCCATACTACTTCACCCTGACGTGTCCCCAGTCTTCCCTCAACTTAACGTGTCCACAGATATCCTTCACCTTGATGTGTCCTGTCCCCCGTTGTCCCTCACCTTAACGTGTCCCCAGTTGTTTTCGTCGTGCAGCTCCTGGTGTTCGTGCTCCCGGCTGATGGCGCTCTGGAACTCCTGCAGCGTCGGCCGCTTGCGCCAGAGGTAGTTGACCAGCGTGAACTCGAGCAGCGCGGCGAAGATGAACGTCGTGCACACGCCCATCCAAATGTCGATCGCCTGCGAGCATGACAGACATGTTTTGACACGGAATCTTTGCCTTTACTTTGGGATGATCTTCAGTTGTCAAACACATTGCCTGCCTTCCCACCGACACACCGTTATTCATTATTTCCCCGTCTCTTGTGTTTCTGTTTTTCTAATACCCACTTGTGGTGGTTTACGGAAACATTCAGGATTTAAATATGTAAAGCCTTCAGCTTTTATCGATAATGCAGTTGATGGTTCCCTCTGCTATGCCACAATAATGTTCGCAATTGGTTTAGCGCTTCTCCGTCAGTGGCGGGGATCAAAGAAGTGTCTTGTCAACAGCGGTCGCTAGTCAGTGTCCTCTGCTCTTCTTCGCCGTTTAAAAATGTGTAGGTTGTTTATCAATAAGACGTTTATTTCTACAACAAAGGCTAGTCGAGCAGCGATTTCTATACCAACTGATTATAGCTCCATTACACATGTCGCAAGTATGCTTGGATACACCGCATTCCTAAAAGCTGATAGCGTTGCGCTCGTGCTCTTGCTGTTTGGTTTGGAAGCCGGAATAACGACCTGGCGACAGCCGACATCCTCGGTGACATATAGTTCCGGCCATGGAGGACCATCCGTCGTTACAGTTGACAGGTCGCCACGGATCACGGAGTTATTATGGTATTTGTCAGCCGTGTTTTCATGATCAGTGTCAACAGCCACGAAACCAAACGAAAGCCCAGTCTCACGAATCATGCAATACAATGTCTCTGCTCTCATCAAGGACAGAAATAGAAACCCACTCACTCTGAACGACGTATATTGCTGATAAATGAACAAAACTGACAGTCTATTGACTTCGAAAAAGGCCTGCAGAGCAAACACTTGGAGCAAACATCATCTCTAACAAACAGAACCTTTTCAAGATCACTTGAGCGACTCGTCTGGCAGATTATGACCAATCAGAGCGGTCATTTTGGGAATGTGTTGCAGCTGTTCTGGGTCGGCGGGGCCCACGGAAGAGCGATCGCCGACATTGGTCTGAGGCTTTCAGCCCCGGCCGGCCGCCGTTCCTGCTCTGTTTGTGGCAGAGACCGGTGACGCCGATTCGGAGCTCTATTATTCGTGATGTGGAGCCCGTCTGAGACTGAGTTGGCACCCACAGAGCCCGAGTATCGCTGAGTGGTGTATTGTGCTGTGGTGAATGGGCCGAGAGTCGAGACAACGAACACGAAAAACGGCCGGCTCTGAGGAGCCGGCGAATCAGCGAGTTTGTTGGCTGTTTGATGTTTATTTCCCTCTCAAAGGGCCAGTCATAGCAACGAAACGAAAATGGATGTTACAGCGAAATGGATGTTACAGCTGGAAAGTACAGTTGCAGGGCTTTACTAACTACTCACCTATTGAAAGTAAATTCGTCTTCATAATGCATTGCTGCCTTTATGGTACTATGTAGTATTGGACGTCAGAGCGACGTTGGAAGTAGGCTTTTTAACGGCTAACTTATAACGAATAACCATTAACCGTCATACACGTCAGACACTGCCTTCGATTTATTCCGCTTGTTTCGTTGGGTTCCAGTCCTCGTCAATGGGCAGAGACCGCCAGAACTCCATTCGCTTCTGGTACGCTCCCGTGTCGGGCCGCGGGCTCGAGGAGAGGCGCATGTGGTTGTCCTGCCTCTCCTTGTAAGGTTTCCACGCGGACACGTTCAGAAGGGCGGACTGCGGCCGGCCGGTGCGGATGAAGCCGGACCAGACGCTGGTCAGTTTGGTGGCGAACTCTCCGTCCCGCCGGCTGGCCGGGAACCGCGGCCCGGTGAACAGGTAGCGCAGGTCGTCCTTGTGCGACACACCCCACGGGAAGAACGGCAGCTCCGAGTTGCCCGCCTTCTGGGCGAGCAGCGCCGGGAACGACGTCTCCGGCACCTCCTCCAGCACGTACTTGAAGACGGGCGCGGTGCTGTGACGCGCCTGCAGCCGCACCGCCACGTCCACGCCGCTGGCGAAGTAGCGGTCGCCCTCAGCTTGGATGAACTGGGCGGCTGTGGTGAGGCCCGGACGCTGCGTGCCAAAGTAGAACTGTCTGATCGCCTCGTACAGAGCACTGGTGTTGCGCTGCGTCTCCAGACCGAGCCAGACAGGTCCGTTGGTGTCCGGGTTGCGGCGCAGGCTCTCCAGGGCGGAGGCGTTCAGCAGGCTGAAGGAGCCGAACGTGCCGCCCTCGTCGCTGTTGAAGCCGACCAGCCAGGGCACGTCGGCCACCTCACCGCGCTCCAGCAGGCGGCGCGGCGAGTCGGGCAGGAAGGCACCCGGCACACCGCGCTCCACGCGCGGCCGGAACGCGAACACCATCGGGTAGATGGACCAGCGGCGGAAGGCCGGCTCCAGGGTGGCCACGATACTCTGCGCGGACGCCTCGCGCAGACAGTCCACCAGCTCGGCCGACCGGTTCACGGGACAGCCGAGCGCCGCGCCCACCTGTTCCGCCTTGGTGCGCTGCCCCTCGCCGAGCGCCCAGAACGACAGCGCCGTGGCTGACTGCGAGATGGCCCGCTGGAAGAGGCCTCGCGACAGCGGCGACAGCATGTGCAGATGGACGGAGGCACCGCCGGCACTCTCCCCAGCCAGGGTCACTCGGTCCGGGTCACCGCCGAACGCCGCGATGTTGTCCCGCACCCAGCGAAGCGCCAAGACCTGGTCGTGCAGGCCGTAGTTGCCCGGCGCCGCCTCGTCCTCGGTGGTCAGGAAGCCGAACGGCCCCACGCGGTAGTTGAAGGTGACCAGGATGATGCCCTCGTCGACGAAGCGGCCGCCGCCGAGCTGCCCGGGTCCGCCGGAGCCGAAGTTGAACGCTCCGCCGGGAATATACACGACCACATGTCTACCGGGAGCGGACGGTGGGTCCTCCGGCAGCGAGGGCGTGTACACGTTCGCGTACAGGCAGTCCTCGGAGCCTCTGAACCTGTCGACGTAGAGCTGGGTGCACGGTTCGGACGGTGAGCCGGCGTCGCGCGTGCCGTTCCAGGGCTGCACCGGCTCCGGTCGGCGGAACCGCAGCGCGCCGACCGGCGGCTGCGCGTACGGTATGCCGTAGAACGCGGGGTACGGGGTGCCGGCCGCGCTGGTCTCCGTCGTACCGAGCAGCTCTCCGTCCGAGAGTCTGACCCTCGGCCGGTCTGCGCTGGCGACGGCCAGGGTCACTACCAGCAGGAGGAGGGCCAGGTCCGTAGCCGACATGGTGGCAGCAGAGCGGCGCTGTCCGCCAGCCGCCCCGACACACAGCCACAGACTAACACCGGTCCGGAAACGACTCGGCCTATACGTCCGCCCAGGACGGCCCAACTGAATATACAAAACGCGACCTCAGTGACGCGGCCAGCAGAAAAACACGCACGGTTGGGAAACAGGTCACATCCGGCTCCGCTTTTTTAGGTTTGTGAACCGCTCCAGTGTCCTTCTAAGGCTCCGCGCTCATTGAAGGTCACATCCGCATCGAAGGCTGTGAAGTGATGTGTGAACTTTACTACTGCGTATTAAATGGAACGCTATTTTGTGAATGCCAGCTGGGGACACGGCTCAGCATCCACACACCGATTACCTATATTATATGTAGTCAGGTGATGTGGAGCAATTCAGTACCATATGAGTGAAGTTTCGCTTTTTCTGGGGCTGATTGTCCTTCTTTACACAGGTGTGTTTCTAGCCCTTCTGCAGTGCCGAGTGTCACAATATGGGCTTTGAACAGACGGCACAAACATCAGGTTTTCGGTGAAACTGGGGAAAACTGCTACAGAAGCACTTTAAATGCCAAATGATGTGCACGGAGACGAAACAATGTCTCGTGCACGAGTGTTCGAGTGTCACAAATGGTTTGTGAGTGAATGAGATGACGTGGAGGGTGATTCAAAGCCTGGACGTCTCACACCAACCAGAAATGAAGATAATATCCACGAGCCTGATGCGCAACGATCGCAAACGGACAGTAGGGGAGAGTGGGGCACATTCGTGAATGGGGCACATTCGTTTTCAGCAGTTTATGGGAACACGAGTGACTGCACGAGCTCAAGGTAAATTATGGAAATATGTCTATCATTGCCGCCCTTCGTTCACCGTAGAAGACAACACTGTACCTGCTGTCATGCTTGATAAAAACGCAAATTTGTAACATTCGTGAGCTTTCCAAACTTTTCTCATATCATCCATTTTCGTGATCCTGACTCGGAAATGTGGTTCAGCTTTTCAAAATGGGGGGTGAAGAAGCTCACTCTATTCACGGAACTGCTGCAAACTTGTTTGTTGAAAAAGTGTCATTTTTTCAAAAAGAAATTTTGAAATATATTACTAATAACGTTGTGGGGCAGGTTCGTGTACGCACTGCCTGGGGGCACATTCGTGCATATTTTTTTTAGTTTTTGCGATTTATGACTTTATCTGTAGTAGGTTTCTCTAATGACGTTCGCCTGACTCAGTCTCGACTGCTTGCGACGTCGTAACGAGCAATTCACGCGAACTTGGCGAGGTCACGGAGGCCGGCAGTTGGCACATTCTTGTTGGCCAGCCCATTCTTTCTACATATGTTGTGCAATGCATTCTTGTCGAAAGGAATCAAGTGAAATGACCCCCTGCCAATTTCCTTTGGTAAATTTCTGGTAATGCCCGGTAATTTCTCGAACTTTGCAGGGTGAACGGAAGTGCCCCACCTCTTGAACGAATGTGCCCCATAGGTGGGGCAGTTTCGTGCAAATGTTCAGAGTTATTAAAAGTCATTTTTTTCTAATGGAAGCAATAATTTTAGAGGATAACTTTTAAAGAGGAAAACTATCTGCAATAGTTCCTTTCCATACTACAATCAACAATTTTGTCATTGCACTAACCAAAGAACAGATATATGGGTTTATCCATTTTTTGCACGAATGTGCCCCACTCTCCCCTAAGGATGCTGGCTGAGGGGCCCCACACACCCGGCCAAATTACCCTGCTAGTGGGGCAATTTGGCCGCCTTGCAGACCTTTGTAATACGTCACAATTTCAATATAAGTAATTACTCTATCATTTCAAGTTCACTGTCCAGTAAAGTAAAATGAATGCGATATCTGCCAGCGTTGAGAAAATGCAGAGATGTGTCGTCAATTTTAAGTTATATCGTTTTCTAAAAAAGCGGCCAAATTACCCCAACCTCCCCTAATCCATTGTGCCATAATTTACACAGTAAGTAATGTGTTGCAATCACCGAGCACACCATATCTTTCTCCGGCATCCATATCGCGTCTCTAACGTTGAATCTTTACGAGTCGTGTTACGTCGGTTCGGTGCCCAAATATCGACGGTCGATAGTGCGGTGATCTGCGAGACGGAAGCGGGGACAAACAAGCTAAAAACGAGGGACCGACGATCTGGCGGCTTCCAATCCAACGACGACTTCGGTGTTGGAAGAGATGATAATCAACTCAAAATCAGATAGCCTGCATCATTCAAACTTCGTCGGCTATACCTCACGGGGCAGGAGACAGCCTGCTTGGCAGAGGCAAACCAGCTTAGGCATCCCTCTCTGAAATGCAGCGTGTGATGTGCATTTTCTTAAAAGCACAGTACCGGCACTGAGTCTCGTATAGCAGGCAGCGTGGCAAAAACAAGGTAACTCTTTTCTGCGTGAACGGGAACAAGGGTACTCACAGCAAGATCTAAAATACCTAGAAATGCTGTTACATAATGGAAGTGCATAAAGCTCAGATAGAACACGTGCCAAAATTCATTTCGGGATGTGATGTCTGCTTTCTAGAACAGGCTGCACTTGTTTTTTGTTTTGTTTTTCATATATCTTTAGTTACATATTCATTCAAAAACATTGCCCATAATAAACAAGGAGCGCATAACTCAATCACCTGAAAGAATGGACTGATTCGATATTTTATTCAGTAATCTAATCTGCTCTTCTCGATGACTTTGCGACTTGCAGTGACCTGACTCCACCAGTGCCCCAGTGACAGTACCCAGGTCACCTCTGCGGCCCCGTGACCCGCCGTGTGCCCCCGGGCGGTCACCGCGCCGCAGGGGTGACCCACTGTGTGCCCTCGGGCGGTCTGCGCGTGCCGGCGTCTCGGCAGCGCGCGCCACTGATGAGGCCGCTATTAATCAGTGCCCGCGGCTACACTGGCAGCGTCACTGGCAGCGGCAATCACAGCCCGACTCTAATGGCGGTCGCCGGACGGAGCAAAGGTCAGCGGCTGCCACCGTCCGGCGGCCGCCGACCACTGCTAACGACCGCACCGCCATCGCAAACCGGCTGCGAGTTAATCAGCGCGGCCGGCCCGCTGGGAGCGCTCGTCAGGACGTGGACACAGTTGCAGGGGGTACAATTTAGCAGCACATACCCCTGCTGCGATACAATGGAGCATTGTGTTGTAGGGGCGTTCATGATCCGTTGCGAGACATATGGGATACCCAGAATGGTGTAAAAAAATTAACTGTCGCAAAGAAGAGAGAAAGAGAGAGAGAGAGAGAGAGAGAGAGAGAGAGAGAGAGAGAGAGAGAGAGAGAGAGAGAGAGAGAGAGAGAGAGAGAGAGAGAGAGAGAGAGAGACGTGAAATGAAAAAAAAAATCAATGAAATATACGCATCAATGAATGACAACATTGGGAGTTCACTCTCGCAATGTATGTAAATATACAAATATCCTGACCGCTTTTAATTCATCGTCGATCAAAATAGCACAAATAATGCCGTTGCTTAATAACACTGACTCTACAAGCTCTACTAATTTCTAAAGCCACAGCCCACTTACTTTTTAAAGCGTGAGAAGACGGAAACGTGACTCCACATTTATGAATAGGAAGCTCCACTCTCATAAATAAATTATCTGTCAGTCAAGTACCACTCCACCATCATAACGGGAACGATTCCACACTTCAGCATCACTCGAGGCCCCTACACTCTCGATTTTAACGCAAAAGACCCGACCCTCACCCACCTGATGCGCCGTCGGGGCGGCCCTGCGGCACTCACTTTGACTTAGGAGACCTGCGGCACTCACCTTGACATAGGAGACCTGCGGCACCTCTGCCTGGATGCCGGACGACTTGGTGGTCATGGTGAGCAGGGTGGTGATGCCGAGCGTCACACGGCCCGGTACAGAGTCCACGTCCATCCAGAAGCTCACCCACGAGATCATCACGATCAGGATGGTGGGGATGTACGACTGCACCAGGTGGAAGCCCAGCGACCGGCGCAGTGTGAACGCCGCCTGTAGGCAACTGTAGTCGCCTGCAGAGGGACAGGGGAGGTCAGAACAGTGGGAGACACGAGCTGGCAGCGGCAGAGGAAAGCAGCGGGGAGATGGACAGTGGAGAGTCCCAGGAAATGTGCGCACCGTTAGCCAGAAACATGGAGAAACGCCTACTCATGAAAAGCTAAGCTAATTTTAGTGGCTTTAATTTTACTGTGCTCTGCAGGATAAGAAAATAAACACGAAGGCCGTTGAGTTAGTATCAATGACAAAATGAAATATCAAATATTTTTGCCTTCCATCGTAAATGTCTGTCCCGCGTCCGGAGAATGCAATAGACTGCGTTACATTATATTCACGAAGCAAAAGACTAAGCCTGGTCTGATCTTGTCAGCTATAAACGTGGATATGCTTATATAAGCGTAGATGTGTTTATATAAGCGTAGATCTTTTTGTTAATTAAGTCTGTCATAATGTTAAAGTCAAAGCCACCGCACCTAGCGGACCAGCCGGATCTTTGTAGAGCTTTGCAATTCCCGGGAATAGCTGATTGAGAAGCTGTGCTCTGTTACTCTGAAATCCTGTCTGAAGCTCTATGATACATGCATTTTGACATTTCAATGGTTTGTATTGGCTGCTTCCTATGCTGCAAGCAACGCAAAAATAAAAACGCACTAAGTATTTTCTAGTTTCAATCAGTATGGTTTTTAGTTTTTACTGTTCAAAACATATCATTTTGCTGTCGCTACTTCGAAAGAGAGACTGTTTTGTCAGAACACTAGTAGGCACGCACAATCCTTACAACTGTCGTACCAATCGCATTTCTCACTCACCTATACTTGATGATTGTTCCTGTTCACACATGGATGTTTCCACGCCACCAAACTCAAACTGCGGCATCTTGAGACTCTCGTAGAGGACGACAGGCTTTTCAGTCTTCCAGCGGAGCTCCAGTTCAGAGAGCGTTTTGGAAACTGCAACAGGAAGAGGAAGAGAGTCAGAGGGAGAAATATGTAGGGAGAAAGATGGTGTGTGAGAGAGAGAGAGGGAAAGGAAGAGGGAGAAAAGAGAAAGAGAGAGAGAGGAGATAGAGGGAGAAAGAGAGAGAGAGAGAGAAGAGAGAGAGAGAAGAGAGAGAGAGAGAAGAGAGAGAGAGAAGAGAGAGAGAGAGAGAGAGAGAGAGAGAGAGAGAGAGAGAGAGAGAGAGAGAGAGAGAGAGAGAGAGAGAGAGAGAGAGAGAGAGAGAGAGAGAGAGAGAGAGAGAGAGAGAGAGAGAGAGAGAGAGAGAGAGAGAGAGCGAGAGAAGTGTAGTTTGGACGCTCACTCAGGGCCTGTCAATGCCAGTGGGTGGTAGATTATCGACTGAACTGCGCGCCTGGCGACCCATCGACACAGCCCAGATGCTCTGTTGACAAAATGATTAATGGACAACTCGAAATCCTGATTGTTTCCAAATGATGTGGAAAATGAACAACCGATGAAGCATTGGGTTTCAGAGTTGAAATGCAGGTTACGGTTTCTTTGTCAGGAATACACAGCAGGGGACAAGCTCGTTCCGAAGGAATCGGAGCTTAGTGAAGAAGATTTCAGCATCAAACTTTTCATCACAGAACTTGACGCTTCTTTATTTCAAGTAAAAGCGTATCTTGTAAGAATAGGTATTAGGTATTATCAGTTTTTGTAAAATGGCAATGATAGAAATGGTAAGAAGTTAATCACTTACAGCTGCCGATCTCCATCGTGCATACTTGGTAGTCCAGAGGGAACTTGGACACTTCCATCATACAGGCAAAGATCAGCTTCAACCTAAAAAATAAAATAAAAAACACCCACACATGTCATTGCTGTCCATATGACGTCAGGAAAACATTTGAGAAGACAAACTCACTTGCGGCATTTCGCACTAGCTTGCATATTATAGACAGTCTCATCAGCCATAAGGTTAGTAGGTACCTATTGTTAAGAAATGGCACGATGGCATAGTTGCAATCTTCACATATAGGTAATCAACAATATGTCAAGCAAGCGCGACCACTACATACCTACATAAAGCGCGGAACTCTCACCTAAGCATGTAGAAAATTTTCCCGCCTGGATTCAGTCGTATTAGGACGTTGGGCACTGTGACAAACTGAAACTCGCCGTGCTTGGCGTTCGGAAAGTACACCTCTGGTTTCCAGATGGCCTTGACCAGGTTCGGGTCGTTCAGGTCAAGCGGCGTAGTGATGTCTTTGTGCCGGAGCCGTGGATCGGTCCAGTATTGCCGCAGATATAGGTCCACCTCGTAGTCCTGGCGAAAAGAAAAGTATCGTTTGTCACGTTCTGGGATGATACCTGTTGTAGGGTTCAATTGGTCAGAGTATTCAGCACTTCGAGCCTCATTGCAGCTGATTTAACCAATCTGGATACGATGTGCTTACAATAGCGCGTTCGGTTCGATTTATTGGGACAAAGGAAACAATCGAATAAATGTATTTTTCATTATTTTCAGGACCCTAGTCATTGAAAGGTGGCTGAGAAATAAAGGGGCTTCTGTCAGTCGTCGCACTCTTGACGGCAGGGTTTAAACTTGTGCATTAGCATACGATGTTTGGGCAAACTGGGTCCCTCTCTCAACGTTTAAAGGTAGTGTGCCAGCTTTCTTGGACCGTATGGAGTTAATGGCCCAGATAAGGAGAACCGGATTTTTAGAACTTATCCATACCTTCAAAACTCATGGAAACGTCTTAAATTCTTCAAATTTTGAGTACCCCAGTGCGAAATTCGCCCCGACGGGTTGTCGGTCGTACCCCAACCACATTTCACACCACTATGAACAATAAATGCACACACTGAAATCGCTATTACCGATATGTTCATCCAATCAAGTTTCGATAAACCCGTTCATCATCATCTCCTGCGGTTTCGAACACGCCTGTTAGGTGGCTTCTGATGCTCGTCGAGGTCGGAATTTCCAAATACGCGTGGTGCGTCGGGCCGCGCGCTCTGACTTCGGCCAAGAAAAATGCGTAAGCTGATCATTGTCATTTCTGCCACTTGCGTGTGGTGAAATGGGGTCATAACTTATAAGACGGCTTTTTCATATCAATTATTTTACATAAAATCATATTTCAAACCATAAATAATGTTCGACAGCCAAATAAAAGAAACAATACCAATACGGGCTTACAGTTTAAGGCTCGACATTGTGTTGTCTACGATTAGACAGCTGATAACTCATTCCCGTACGTCGTATGGTCGTAACACTATAATGACCTTTGCTTATTGTCACAAGTGCGCCGCATTCGCGATTGTTGCCCGACGCCTGTTTGCAGGTGAGCCCACTACAGTTGTTATACATATCTAAAAACCGAAAAACTTTTAGGCGAAAAGGCACTATTCCGGGCCCATTTTTGATTTTTTTTTGCGATATTAGGTAAAAACAGAAGCTTCTTATCCTAGGAAAAATAAAATGGGAAATCTTTCAAAGGTGGCACACTACCTTTAAACGCAACATAATGCCAACATAAGTGCGAAATAAATTGAATTATGAATATTCATCCGTTAGACCACTTCCTTTTACGATACCAAATGAAAAGCTTTCAGATAAAAAGCACAGAAATAAGGAGACAATTAGTCACGTCATTCTACTTCCGTAACGTTTCATAATTCCCGTTGATTTGCTCTGACAGCCTATGTTGATTTTCATTGGACTGGTTAAGTAACAGCGAACTGCAATTTCGAGCCAGGTTTGTTCGGTCCGTTTGCATTTGAAATTGGCACACCGAGTTCCTCTCGCCTCGCCTATATCTTTGGAGGACGAACAGATAGCGAGAAGTGCTCTCATCCGCTGCCTGAATTCGGGGAAATCCCGGCCAAAGATCGAGCTATCATGTTGCTCAACGCCGGCTGAATGTCATTATTTGCGGTGAAAGAGGAACGATTTATGAAAGGATCCTGATGTCATTAATTTTAAGTATCTTTGTAAAATGTGTCAAACCATGTATTTCATAGCAAACAATGCGTCGGAAAAAACAATGCGTCTGCATCTGAAATGTGTCATTTAGCTTAGGCCTCATCCAAGTAGCGGCCTCATCAAGACCCTAATCTGCAGCTGGTCAGCATGGCTGGCTAGTCTTCAGTTAACTTGAACGAAGGGTGTCACTCGAGCAAAGCAGGCCGCTACGCATCAGGGCCGCACAGTGCACATTGCAGGGGCTGCAGTGAGCAGAATGCAAGTCTCTTCGGAGCCCTTCGCTATGGCTCCTATTCTTGGTCCGCTCTGTGAATGCTTTTTCGAGCCCATAATAAGACTGAATCATAAATTCAATAAAATGTGTTGAATGAATGCCGATTTAGGGGTTCTTCAGTCCCTTGCATAACGCTAGATAGGTGTTCACTATCGTCAGTGGCCAGCCCTAGTCTTTGCTATTTCTGCTGACATCCCTGCTGTGCTCTCTTTTCTTTTGACGTGTTGTAGCGGATAACATTGCCACCCGACTTTTTATCATATATTGAACCGTTCATCGAGTTAGATGATCGCCAAATAAACGCCTGCAATTTAGCTAATGACTACCTAACTAATGCTTGTCTTGATCAATCTCATGAGCGCACATGGATAAAAGGTTCAACAGTGAACACGCACCCCCTCCCGTAAGAGGAATTAAGAGCAGCAACAAATTAATTTTATCGCATCACTGTACCAGTGACGTCTAAAGGCCTGGTTACACTATGCGTTTTCTGCGTGCGTTTTTAGCGAGTTTGCGTGTTTTGCGTAATATCGTTCTAGAAAAAAGGTTATTATTAATTTTACTTCTTTGATATTTGTATAAAAGTTAATAAAACGTTTATGTTAATTAAAAGTTTATATGAAAAACATATAACAAAAACGTAATGTCGTTTCTTTCTCGAACGATATTCCGCAAATCACGCAAACTCGCAAAAACGCACGCAGAAAACGCATAGTGTAGCCAGGCCTTAAGCCTGAAACAGACTCTTTCCGCAGTCAGGAAATCGCATGCGAGAGCCTATTCAAATACATGGAAGCACGCTCGCATCAATCGCACACACCTCCCGCATGCGATTAATGCAGGAGGAATTATAATGTATTTAAATAGGCTCTCGCATGCGATTTCCTGAATGCGGGAAGTGTTTCAGCCTTAAAGGAAATAGTTCACTTTTTAACATGGGTTTTGAACTGGAATAGCAGTTCCGTAGCTTGGGCTGAGACGAGCATAAATCAGGAGCTTTTACAGCCCAACGATCACCCTAGGCAAAGATATTCTATTTCTCGTCCCGAAAAAGGTGTCTTGCGTTGAGGATGTGTGCCTTGCATATATTTCCATCCAGTATGAAAAGAGCATGGGTCCCGAAATTTCTTCAGAAAGTAGAGAAATTATCTACGAGAACTCTAGAGAAATTCTCGTACTGATCAATTAGGACATTCAGGGGAGCAATATCAGATCGAGCAGATCGCCCAAATGCCGGTGGCTGCGATAATTTCTCTGTTTCTGAAGAATTTTCGGGACCCATGCTCTTTTCATACTGGATCGCGTGTGCCTTACAGAAACTGAAAAGTTATTCCTATATCAAAATATAGAAAATAATCTTTTGTTATAAAAAGGTTTTATTTTCTTTGCTGATTATTTTGAACATAAAAAAACATAAATCCGTTGCAAAAAAATAATTTCGTGAAAGTGAACTATTTCCTTTAACGCCCGAGCTGTGCCATTTTACTGAGTGGACATCGGTTTCCACGTGCCAGCCTGTCGATAGGCGTTTGGTGGTGTTCGGCCGCTGTTTACCGGCGCTGGGCCGGGGCGCGCCAGACCATTAAAGTTGCGATCCGGCCAGCGGCTTTGTGTTTGCCACACACCATTATGGTGGCCATCGGGGGCTCAATGTTCTTGTTGTGCCTTCCCAAACCGGCGGCATTTGCTGCTCGCTTCCGGCGGTTTGCAGCGCAATCGGTGCCTTTAATTATCCATTCGAGGTAGCCACTAAAACAACACGTGTTGGGAGGTCTTTGGTTTGATTTATCGCGCGTATGGGCATCGTTTGTCTTATTAGATACATAACTTTATTGTATCTTCCCTATCACCATATCAACTGATTAATTAATCATTCGGATTGTTCTCCAAATGTTCTTACCATTGTTGATGGGTTGATGGAACCAAAACTGCGTATGTATAGCTCCACAGTTACTTCTGTGGGGGTATCTGAAACAGAACAGCCAACCAAAGCAAACAGAGGTCAGTGATCTGTTGCAAACTACGGAAGCAAGCATGTTACGGATGGATGTGCTGATGATCGTAAATCTAATATGTTCCGTTAAACAGGAACAACTGCTGACACAAAGACACGCAAAGTCAAGCACATACTCATTTGATGGAAATGGTTGGTTATATTTATGGAAATAGATATTATGGTTATGTTTATATAACCATTGGATGGGAGAACTTCTTCGCTTCGTCACACTGCACGTCAACAGCATTACCTCCCGTTCAGGGAATTTCAGGAAGGAGCGCAATAGAGTTCCGCCTCGGACCTACCGCGGAAAATTCGTCAACTGTTAAATCTTACGTTCAGCTTTGACCCTAGAGTGGACCATTTGTCTTGGGCCGGTTGATCGAGAAGCCTGGCTGAATATCCGAGAGTGAGACAAATACCAGCCTGCAGGAAGCCAGGAAGGGCGGTGGCGTGGAGAAAGGCCACTGCTGTGGCTTCTTTGACGATTGGTTGTTTACTGTTTGCAGTGGCTTGAAAGGTATTCAAGCATACAAGCAAAGTCTATTTGCGGAAAAAAGTTGTGGTGGTATGTCCAATGTGCCGGCCTTGACGGTGCCTTTAGCTCAGCCTTCGCTCAGCTAAAGGCAATGTCAACAAGCTAGAAACAAGCTGGAAACGTCGTCAAGGTGGAAAAAGGCTGGTTGCGGACTGCGAGCTTGTTTCGGTGCACTTTTTTGCTGCTATAGTATCATTACTTCTCTGCAGCACACTCAACTTTGTCTAATATTGCTGGCTGTTTTTGAACTCCTGTGCCATAACTCTACAAGGGCCTCATCTTAAGTACGAAGTAATTTAATTCAGCTCCACTCATTATTCAGGCTTGAACTACTCGAGAACACTTAAAAAGCGTTCTACCTCTTAAAACCTTACCTTCAGCGAACGTTGGTGTTGCCCTGCGGTCATAGTTTTTGAGCATCATGTCGAGCACCCGTAGCTCCGTTACATTGAAGTACGCTCTGTGGAGAACACAGCAAGGCCAGCAGTTAGACTGAAGGAAGGGGCATTACGTGGCGGCTTAGAGCAAAGCTGAAAACCGCTGAACTGAAATACATTGGTTGGGTCTCCACTCGAGCGTCTGTGAAAATTTCTGACACTGATAAAACTATGCTTATTGGTCAAAATGTACAAACATACACACATACAGGGTGGGGCAGCATAATCGGGAATGCTTTTTGGGCTCTAATCATGAGTAGGCATGACATTATTTTGATAAATTATAGCATGGCAATGAAACGCCCAAAAGTTGTGCATCATCTAACATGACTACATCCATGAGCATGCAACCTCCTGGAAAAGAGCAGCAAAATAGTTCGACGGTGCTCCAAGTGCTTTGCGCGCGCCCATAGACACTAATGTTAAACGAGTAAAACAAGAACATTTTGTTGAAACCCCTGCAATTCCACGTAAAGGTTGCTGGACAGGTCAACGTGTTATCACGGACAATAAGGATTGTGTGGGAATACTTAGGACAAAAGGTTAACGTAATCGTCGTAAAATAACTCTTAGCAGAGGACATACAGATGACTCACTTGAATATAAGGAAGACGCTCTTGAGCATATTAAAAAGAAACAATGCTCAAAACTTCAGCGACCAAAAATCTCACCACCGACTGGAATACGACAAAAAAGAATGGCAAGCCATATAGGGGATTGTATCGAGAATATTCCAGCGGTCATGCAAAGTAAACATCCTGTTGGGGTGATGGACCTATGGGTGGTCTTCAAGGGAGGTGCACGTGGTGCACCCTACTTCATCGAGCCCAGATAAAATGAGCACCTCTGGTAAATACATCCGCACTGTGGCAGACTCATGTGGAGCCGTCGGAACAGAGGATCACTGACGGTCCAGATCACGTCTTACGAGGACTCTGTCTGTGCTGGTACTGCAGTGAGGACGACATGTTATTGTGTAGGGCACCTCCACCTGAGATGAACCAAAAACTTCTGGTCCTTCAACTCCGCCGATTTAAATCCGACCAAATTCTTTACATGGAGCGTTTTTTGGTAGAAGGTTAATGAACAACTTATCATCAGTAAAGACGGTCTTCAGTGCAAGGTACGATGCTGATGGGCGATCATGGACAAGCAGGAGGTTGCACGTGCATGCGCGTGCTTTTGGACCCGCCTTGAGAAGGTCATCGACGCCGAGGGCGGTCACATAGGATGAGAGATAGGTAAAAGGTGACCAATTGATGGGATGTTGCTAAAATAGTGCTTGGAGCTGTATTTTTAAATTCATGACCAAATAATCCCGTTTGATATTTATTCCCGATTATGCTGCCCCACCCTGTACAGCACAATATTAATATGTACCTATGTTTCGATGTCATTGCGTAATAGTGCAGCGGTAATGGGAAACGCGCAGTACGCATCCTTACCGTATTCGTAAGTACGAGTATACCTAATAAAAGTTGGGAAAATGTCCATTTTTCAACGCTATGCCATGCTTTGAATGGATAAGTCAGGAATTTAATTCCAGTTGGAACTATATCATTGCATTATCTGTCACCAGCTTCGCATTTAATTCCTATTGCTGATTTCATATCGCATCTGCAGTTTGTCCTCGCGTTGGGCGGTGGCCCCGCTGGACCCCCACACGGAGACCTGCCTCCGGTCCGGCGCGGTGGCACGGCTGCCCCTGACAGCACGTCGCCCTGTCGATAATCAGAAGAGAGTCGCGCCGCTGCCGACGGCTTTGTGCCGGCGCGGGGCAGCGGGTGCGGCGGGTCGCGCCGGTCCCAGCCGACACTCCGATCGTCCCGGGATAATCGGCCAGACTGCAGCCCAGCCCTGCACGGCGACATGTCTTCATCGAGCAGCAGGTCGCGTCTGCTCTGACCGGAGCCGAGTCCTGCACATTGCAGTGCACAGTTCATACCTTGGGCGAGCGTGGGTCCGCGTCTGCTCCTATTTCCACAGCGACCATAATTCGCGCTGAGTTTACACCATCTATGATTCAAAAGAATAAAGCATATTTCTTTGGAGGTTTCAGGTTATCTGCCTCGATCAAAGACCTCTTTATAGCTCTGTACTGAGGGAAACAGAGGTATGTGTCTCGATTTAATAATGTGCGAAAAATAAAAGCGAGATTGCTTACATAAGACTCAAAGAACCTGAACAGATTAGCTCAAACATGAGGCAATGATACATTTTTCCCGCCCATCGAGGGTCTCTAATTTTACGATAAAAGAAATGTATTTAAAGCCGTGCAGCTAATTGGTGCTTGACCCGTGACCGGAAGCTGGTGTCGAAGCATGATGGTGAGAAGATCGCTTACAATTGTTTTGGAAAGTAGACCTTCATTATGTTATTGCTGTTGAAATCAGTACAGATTCGGAGCACTGATTTTGGCTCCAGCGGTAATTGTGTTACGGGGAAAATCCAATCACCCATTACTTCGAATCACAGTTAGCAAATTATGGGATTAGATTATTCAAGGCAGGGATAGAGGCTTTGGGGACTGACAGAAACCCCTCCCTCATACGCTTAACCAAGTAGGTATATACAATATCCCCGACCCCGTCGGATCTCAAGTGGAGAATTAGGCGCCCGTTTCGACAAGAAGGAATGGTAATTAGCATGCCCCCAGCTGCTAATTAGTGGGAGAAACTGTGACATTTCAGCCCACGCTGGGTTGAATTCTCGTCTGAGCCAGGCTGCAGAGCAGGATGGGATCCTAAGACTCACGAGAACTATATACGGATGGCTATTACTTTGCCTGGCGTGCCGTGGGCTTTGGCCACAGCAAAAGTTACGACATCTGATCCTAACATGTCAGGGTGAGTTACTAAAAGAGCTCGCACTTTTACGGTCATTTCCAAACACTTCGAGATTTGACCGGAGCTCAAAATACCTGCCAGCTGATGCAGGGCACAGGGCTGAAGCATTTGTTTCAAATGATTATCGCAACCCAGTAGGCATAAAGAATCTAGATGCGTACTGATCGGGCCATCATTTCTACACAGCACGTTTATTTCAGATGCTCCACCTGTATCCGACCCAGGCACAGACTAGCCAGTAGCACTCGAGCAGCACTCAGTTACCACCCTCTCCGCGGCTGGGTCGGGGGGGGGGGGGGGAGGTCTGCCATGACTGGTCTCTGTGGGCCAGTCCTTATTGGAGAGCTCCAAGATGGATTAGAGGGACCAAGGAACGACCAGCGAGCGCACTGCGCAGCTCCGTAATACAAGAGCCACTCATTGTTTTGAACGCCCTATGTTACAAAAATATCGAACAGTTTAATACATAGACAATTGCTCTGACATCAAGGATAAATAGATGCCGAAGTGAGTAGTGGCTTGTATCGTAAGCGTGAAATGTTTAAGAAAATAGGATGGATTTAATTAACAGTTTCTGCCTTTTTCACACCAAGAAATTTCATTTAGTTCAGTTCGATTGAATAACCATCTCAAGGCAGGAAGGATTTCATAGTAAGTCAACTGTGGAGAAATGCCGACGCGATTCTTTTGTCGATTTAATCCTATAAAACTAGGAACAGAGAACACCTTTTTAAGCAGACTGGGCTCATTACGGCTCATTACATTACGTTCCAGTGGCTTTAGATTCAGTCCGTGACGTTTTTTAGACACTCACTAGTATTTGTAATTAATTAGCATAATAACTTCTTTGACAAAGGCCAAAGGGTTTTGCTTGCCAAAATCGCATGTTACTCGAATGAAGTCCGAGTAAATGTAAGTTTGTTTGACGTATGAATACCTTCTATGAAATCACAATGTGCATTGGGGACGCCTGCGTCTTTACTTCTTTGTGTGCATGAGGTATTTCCAGTTACTGCAGCGTCCGTGCGTCGCTATTTCCATTCGATGTATCCAGAAGCAGTGCGTTTCTGTCGTGCTGGACACCCAAACAAGATGAAAGATAAATGAGATGGCAGACTTGTTACTAACGGCACTCTCAATGCGATTTTATTTCAACCCCAGAACTGTTGACAACGGCGGCAACATCATTCTAATTCAACACTTACGGCCGCGCCCGAAAGGTAGTACCAACCGCAGCAGCCCGGGGGCGTTTTTCGCCCCTATCTTACTCCGTAAACAAGGGAGCTACCGAAAAAGCGGTACCAAACGAAAGGTGTCAACGAGGAGGTTCTAAAACAGCCAAAATGTTTGAAATCAGGTCCATTTTCAAAATCAAAGACCAAGGTCAAAGGCAAAAGCCGGCATATCTACATAGTGATCTCAAACTAAATGCTCGTAGGACGGGAAGATGCATAAAACAGGCTAAAACGGATCGTAAACGAAAGACGAGAATCTGAAAAATCCGGTGATGTGCTCAAAATCCAAGGTCAGAATCAAAATCATGCTCAAAATTGGCCCCGCAAGACTTGCACTTTTTCGTATACTTTTTAAACTAAAGACCAATATGTTTTTTCAAGGTCTTTTGCGGCTTATCAGGTCAGTTTTGTGGTTCATGTTACAATACAAGGCTACCCTAAGTTCAAGGTCACGCAAGAGTATCCTTGCTAAAGGCTATTTCACTGATTCGAATAAGCCATTATTTGAACAGTTCGACTCAGTCAGCAGTTCGAATCAGTCAATTTTGCTATCCTGAGGCTTCAAACGAATACTTCGAGCAGAATGGATTCCAGATTCGTCATCGACGGCTACGAATACATCACATAGGACCTGTCATGTGCAAAAGTCATTCTCAATGTCACATGAGGTCAACATCAAACTTGAACTATTCCAAACAAAATGTATGACATTCGACGCATCTTGACAAAACGAGGGCGTTAGAGCTAATGCGTTGTGTAACAATGCTTTAGCTCTAAGAAACATTTTTGTTGGCTATTCGCGAAAAACTAAAACACCCATCTCAGGGTCGTAGACCTGACGTCTGACCTCAGGGTATCAAAATCATTTTTGCATTCTTTTCTGGGTCATAGCTACACATTAACACAGCCTTGCTAACAATTTGTCTTTATTTTTAAAACTCT